AACTGAAATCTCTTCTATTTATAGAAGAAAGGAAGCTGCTCTGTAAGCTGCTATTATAAGCTGCTGTGTAAGCTGCTACTACAAGCGGCAGTGTAAGCTACTATAAGCTGATGTGTAAGCTGCTACTACAAGCTGTTGTGTAAGCTGCTACAAGCTGCTGTGTAAGCTGCTACAAGCTGCTGTGTAAGCTGCTACTGTACCAGATATGGATAATCTTCTACCGGGGTTAATGTTTATCCATAACTGGGCTGAAAAGATAAGCTTATTATACCCGATATGGATAAACTTCTACTGGGGATAATGTTTATCCATAACCGGGTACCGAAGTGATAAGCTTCTTCAGGAAGCTTATTTCCAATATAGTACTAAATAGATAACATATTTACGGTGGAGTCCCATATGGATAAGCTTCTTCAGGAAGCTTATTTACAACGGAGTACTAAATGAACATCCATAATATAATATATTTATAACAGTTCTCATTTTTTTTTATTTTAGATACTCACTTATCTAATATATTACTACTTTATATAAATGAGAAGGAAAGGGACGAATACAGCTTTTTCAATTTGTACTTTTTGCATCATCTATGTGTACACTTAAATTGACTTGAAAAAATTCATTGGGACTCTCCCACCTCAAATAGCAAACACGTGTGCTCTACGTGTCACGGGCATCTTTCTTAACGAGCATGTAAACATTTGATTCTATTTTTCTCAGAGATTATTGATTCATGCCATGGCAGCGCTTCAATTTAATAGTTAATTAGAGGTAAATTATGTTTCTGATCTGATCTAAACTCTTGGTTGAATTGACAATTCTTTTCCAATAGTTTTTTTTTCACAGTTGATATTGTTATCCTTAATGTAAATTGTAGATAGTTTAGCATTTTGAGATCAAACTTCTTGATTTTGATTATGACGATGATACATGTTTGTGCTCATTATAAACTTATCGAAGAGAGGCTTGACTATATCTCTGAACTTCTCACCTTTCGTGTCTATGGCTTCAATATATTAGATAAAAGTGATTTTTGGCATTTAAATTGATTTTATCATGTGCAGTGATGAAAGAGATGAATAATTAACAGGTAATTTGATTTGTTTCTTACGTCAAACATGCAATACTTTTTCTCGACCATGTGCACTTTTGATTCTTAATGCCACAAGGAGAATTTTGCCATGACAATTCTCTTTCTTTCAAACTGATGTTTGATTTTAGACTGCATAACACTTTGGTCTTTTAATATAGTAAGAACAGTTTGATTAGTATATACAGGAAAAAAAAAATTGGGCTACAAATATAAGATGACTGAGCTATTAAAATGTATAAATAGGTGACATGTTATTCTGATTTGTTCAACATGCATGACTGTAGTTTAACTCTAAGCTATATTTCAAACTGGATCCTTGTACTTTTACTTTGTCTTCCATATTTTCCCAAGCAAATAAATTTCATTTTTATAATTTAGTGTCTGACTGGTTTTGAAATCTTATAATTTGTATTTGCAGGTTATGCTGTCATGGGAGAAAAATGCAACTCTTTTCATTGCATCACAAGTAATTGAGATTTCACATGGATGGTTTCACAAGGACAGAAACAGACTTGCATCAACTTGAGAAGATATATTTAGTTTTCAAATTCTCAAGTCCATGTATTATTTTAACTACGGCGATGGTACATAGGATACAAACCTTGTTGTATATGATGCTATTATACAGTGACAATGAAACAATCTCAAAGGCTTTCATCTACTACGAGACATTAGTTAACTAGAAAATCATGAATCATGTTGGGTCCGTGCTAAGCACGGCCAAAGATCATCTAGTATATATATAGGTCTCTTATATGAGGTGTTTGACTTAACACATAAGTTAATTAAACATTTATAGAATAAAATAATATATTAGTGATGATGAAAGAGAATATAAAAGTGATGTCCGAAAAGAAAGCAAAAATCACATCAAAGTTTGATTACTCCTATAAATATCTAAGGAGTTTAAGTTCTTGAGAGTTATGAAAATTGTATAAACATAAAATAGCGTCAAGGTTTTTAGAATGTGCCCTATAAATTTAAATTGAGGGAGTATTAACTATTTTCAAAAGGCAAAATGTTCAAATTAGAAGATCAACAAAAGACTCGTGACAACACATGGAATGACTCAATTTCTGGATTTGTGCATGTTATACATATTTAGAAGTCACATTAATTTCTTTATATTTTTCCAATTTTATCTGATGTCACTAACACAAAGATTGGGGCAACGTCCTTTTTTTGAACAAGTCCCTACCGTATAATACCCTGCCCTGCCTTTTGACACCTCTCCACTCCACACAACATCTTTTTTCTTGTATATAAAAGAACTTCTTCTTTATCTCTCTCACTCCATTAATATTTCACTCTTTCCCAAAGCTAAAACACTCATAAAGCTTGACGAAAAAATTCCATTTTTTCTTTTTATTATCATGGCCTCAGTTTCTCCTCCCTTGAGAGATGAGCTAGACATTGTAATACCCACAATTAGGAGCTTGGATTTTTTAGAAATGTGGAGACCATTTTTTCAACCATATCATCTCATTATTGTTCAAGATGGTGATCCCTCAAAGACAATTACGGTCCCTGATGGCTTTGATTATGAACTCTACAATCGCAATGATATAAACAGGATCTTGGGTCCAAAGGCTTCTTGCATTTCCTTCAAAGACTGCTTGTCGTTGCTTTGGTTATATGATCTCCAAGAAGAAATATATCTACACTATTGACGATGATTGCTTTGTAAGTTTATTCTATCTTTCGGTAATGTTTATATATAATGCATGCATGCCGGTGGTATACACAAGATTTTTATTTGTATGCGAGTTTAAGTTTGGAGTCGTAGAGGTTGTAAGGCTTTACTTCATGTGTCAAGTTGACATATATGCATGGATTCAAGTTATATACTATGGTGTAAAATATTCTTACAATATTCATATAGTTTAAAGTTACCATATTTTACCAGGTTACGAGTTAATGCTTATTATAAATATTTACTTGTAATTAATTGCCTTCTAAGTGACTTGATTGTGTAAATATTATTTGCATCGATGATACATAGAACTTAAACTTATTTTACATTATGTCCAATTTATGTAGATCTATTAGATAAAATGTATTCACATACATACACACATGCGAAAATTTCTCAAAAAAGTCAGTACTTGTGTAGGTAGCAAAGGATCCAAGTGGAAAAGATATCAACGCATTGGAACAGCACATAAAGAACCTTCTGTGCCCATCAACTCCCTATTTCTTCAACACACTGTACGATCCATTCAGAGATGGAGCTGATTTTGTGAGAGGATACCCTTTTAGCCTTCGTGAGGGTGTCCCATGGCCTATGGCTCAACATCCCTGATTATGATGCACCTACACAACTTGTCAAGCCTCTTGAGAGGAACACTAGGTTTGTTTTTTCTTTTAGAATTTACGTTATGTGCACTAACAGTACAAATTTACTATATATTTACTTTTTCCACACGTGTGATATTTATACACGGTTATATTTATATTATACAACAACAATAATTCCACAAGTGGGGTAATTCTTCAATTCCTTTTTATACTACCGGTGTAGTTTAATGTTTTCATAACATGTAATTTACCATTTGTCTTGACGTTAACAATCATGTAAAATTGGGAGAGCGGGTCGAAAATACTGCATTACTATTTTCGAAATATATTATTTTTACCCTCCATTATACTTTAGGGTCACACATACTAGAAAGTTTTCTAATTTTTTTTAACTTTGTGGGGAATATCTGTTGAACAGGTATGTTGATATGGTGTTGACAATCCCAAAGGGTACTCTCTTCCCAATGTGGTATGAATCTTGCATTCGACCGTGACCTTATTGCGCCTGCTATGTACTTTGGACTCATGGGAGATGGCCAGCCCATTGGACGTTACGATGATATGTGGGCTGGTTGGTGCCGCAAGGTTTGTCTTTCTTGAGAAATTTTCATAAAACACTATCTTTTAGTGTAATTAACTATTTATATATATCATTTGCTATATTACGGATTATAGATATATTTTCTGTTGTTATAAAATGTATTAGATGTATTTAAGCTACTGTATTCATGAATACAATAGCAAAAATAGGTGTGAATCAGGAAAGTCCAGCTAATCAGTTGTTGTATTCGAGTGTATTCGACTATATTCATGGCGTGAAACATGGAATTACAGCGGGACATATTATTGTACTCGACTGTATTCACGACGTGAAACAGGGGAATACATTATTTTTAAATAGAAAATGAATCAATTAACATAATAGACTCCTAATATAACTCAACAAACTCAATTATAACACACAAATTTTGTATTTCCAATTATAAAAAAGATTCTCAACCGAAAAATACCCCAAAAACATAGCAATCTTCAGAGAAATTATATAATACATTTGAATACATAAATTATATTAATTAAAAAATATATGAATACATTCATGGAATACAATGAGATAGTGAATACAATGAAATACATGGAATACAACGAGATACATTGAAACACAATGAAAAAAAGACAATGAATATAATGAAATACATGAAAATACAGCGAGATACATTGAAATATATTAACAGAAAATTCAAGTTGCTCAGCCCCAAACTCCGCCGTCTTTTTTCAAGAACAAACCCTAATTTCCGGCGAATCTGTCGTCGAGCAATGGTGGCAGAATAAGAACTGTTAAAGCTTGAATCTTATATTGAAGATGACGGAAGTTGAGAACCTCGAGTTTATCCAATATTAGGACTCTTCTTTCTCCAAAAGATGAACCTCGAGAAGATGACGTTGTTGAGCAATGGTGGCAGAATAAGGACTCTTCTTTCTCCAATATTAGCATAGCTATAGCTTTACTAATGTAAGACTTGCAACAGTTAATTAAAATGGTGACTAATTCTGAAGAAATAAAATTGAGCATGAAGCTTTTGATTGACACCAAGGCTCCTAGTGATATCTGTCCAAATTGTCGAAACCAGATGTCAACATATTTGACGTGGTAGCATATATGCATGCTCCGATGGAATTGGAGAAATTGGGATCGGAGAAAATGTAGGTGATGGAGAGGAATTTTGAGATTGAGCATCGTGTTTTCAGGGAATGGGGGAAGAGAATGACATGTATCAAAGTAGAGAGAGAAAGAAAATAGTATAATTGAATAGCGTATTTAGTGGCTTAGGGTTAGGAGGTAACCAAAATTAGATATTTTCTATAAACATTAAAAGGTATATATAGAATATAATTTTTTAAATGGTATTTATTAAAATAAATAAGGTGTTAACCTTTGCTATAAGAGGTGAAAATTCCGTCTTTTTCCATTAATTTTAGAAGAATTTTCAGAAACCACTATTGCTTAGTGGCTATTAACTTCCTATAGCTATCATATACATAATTACTTCCTATAGCTACTATTCAATTATTACGGTAGTGTATTTGTTGTATTTGCGTTGTTGTATTCATGAATACAGCAGCAAAAACGCCTAAAATATCAGGGTAGTCCAGCTGTACGCGCATGTATTCGCGCCATGTATTCATTAATATAGCACAAAAAAATGCCTAAAATCAGGACAGTCCAGCTGTACGCGCATGTATTCACATGTATTCACACTACTGTATTCATGAATGCAATAGTAAAAACGCCTAAAATCAGGTCCAGTTGCACGTGCATGTATTCACATGTATTTGCGCCATGAATACAACAACAAAAAATGCCTAAAATCAGGGCAGTCCAGCTGCATGCGCATGTATTCACATGTATTCGCGCTACTGTATTCATGAATACAACGATAAAAAAGTGCCTAAAATCAAGGCAGTCCAGCTGTATGCGCATGTATTCACATATATTCGGGCCATGTATTCATGAATACAGTAACGATAATCACCTTAAAAATAGGTATGCCCAGTTGTCTAAGAGAGAGAAAAAACATAAATAGCGTATTTCATGTTTCAATGGTAGTATATACCATAAATACTTATTTTGTTATAAAATATAAAAGGTATCTATAGAAAATAATATTTTAAAATGGTTTTGATTTATAATAAATAGGGTGTATACCTTTTCTATAGGAGGTAAAATTTTCTTAATTTTATTAAATACATCGCCACCTCTGTTAATGCAGAAAACATCAGCTCAATCAAAAGGATCGTCAATGGAGATTAGGGATTCTAGATCCTCCTTATTAGAGAGAAAGATATGAACGAGGCAGTGAGAGATGGGAAAATGGTCGGCCAACCCAATACAGTTGGGCCTTTGACTATTTATACTTCACTTAGACCCGGTCTATAATGTTTACAAAACTAGCATAATGTATTGAACTAAGCTATTACATCTGACTACTTCTAATACAATACAAAAAATGGCTATCTCTATAAAACTGTCTATTTACCAAATAAATAAAGAATGGGCTAACTTAAGTGTGTGGCTTTGGAGGCCCAACACCCCCTTCAAGTTGGAGGGGGAAACCGCTTTCAACCTGCCTAGAAAGGTATGATGGAGGACCCCATGCAGTGGTTTAGTGAAGACATCAGCAAGTTGATTGGAGGTAGGAACATGGGACAACTGGAGGAACCCCTCAACCAATTTGTTTCTGATGAAGTGACAATCCACTTCAATATGTTTTGTACGCTCATGGAACACCGGGGTTTTCGCAATATAAAGAGCTGCCATGTTATCACATAGGACAAAAACAAGAAAAGAAACAGGGACTATCAGATCATGTAACAAGCGGGACAACCAAACTAATTTAGCCACCACATGTCGAATAGCTCGATACTCAACTTCAGCGGATGAGAGAGAAACCACAGGCTACTTTTTGGATTTCTAGCAAACAAGACTGTCGCCCAAGAATAAACAATAGCCCGAGACAGATTTGCGAGTGTAGGGGCAAGCAGCCCAATCACTATCATTATAAGCCTTCACAGAGAAATCAAGATTGTTAGAGTAAAATAAACCAAAAACAAGTGTGCCTTTAAGATAGCAGAGCAAGTGGAGAGCAGCAACCATATGAGGTATCCTGGGAGTGTGCAAGAATTGGCTCAAATGTTGAACCCCAAAGCATATGTCAGGTCGAGTGTGAGTTAAAAAGAGTAGCTTGCCAATAAGTCTCCTATACTTCTCAGGAGATGACAAAACCTCACCTTCAGTAGCCTTTAGCTTTGGGGTGAGTTCTAGAGGACTAGAAACAGAAGTGACCCCCAAACAATCAAACTCTTTTAGCATATCAGAAACAAATTTCTTTTGATTTAAAAGAACACCATCAGGGAAAACAGTAACCTCAATGCCTAGGAAATAGTTGTGAGCACGTGATTTTTGTTTCACGAGACAATCGCTCCAAAAGAAATAAAAAATAACAACAATTGATCCCGTTGTACAATTTTGAGATTTTTACATGGCACTTCGTTAATTGTTTATGACTTTGGCCCATTTTTACTTTATTAAAACAAAATACAAAAAATGTACGTGTCATGCATGATCTGAACCGTAACATGGTTGTTAAATAGAAAAGCATGAACAGGCATCTTTGCCCGTGATTTTATTTTGTTTAATTTTTACCTGTTTTGAATCATTTTAATGTGTGTGCAAATAATTGTATTAGGCGTTTATTTTAATTTGATTTTACTTAGTTTTGTATTTTTATAACAAAAGAGAAAGAAAAAAAAAAGAAAAGAAAAGAAAAGACCCCTTCCGGACTTGGGCCAATTTGTTAAAATTGGCCCAACAAACCCAGCCCAAAATCTAGGCCTGCCCGGTCCAACACCACCTGATGCCCAGAGAATCCAAACGACGTCGTTTTGGTACAGGTTGATCTGGGCCGTTGATCTCAAATTGATCAACGGCCAAGATCAATTCCCTATAACCCATCAACAAACCCGACCCATCTCACCCGGACCGACCCTAACCCTTTACCCTTGAAACGACGTCGTTCCCTG